AAAGAAAAACTTCTTTTATATCATCTTCATTTTTTACTGCTTCTCCACATTTCTTTACAAAATCCATTATTTAGAAAATTTCACCTTTGGTTTGTGATATCCGAAAACTTTCAGATTCGCAGTTATCATTATAAAATTTAGCTATCGTTCACTATACCTATTTGGCTATGTATCATGAGATTGGCAACTACAGACAAGTTGTTCTGCTGAATTCTATCTTGTTTCTATCGCACACTGAGACAATTAAGCCTGAATTGTATTAGTTTAGTTATTTATTATACTTATGCCTATTCCTTGCACATGCTTAAAACTTACCCAAGTCCTGAATAAATAAATTCCCACATATATAGGCTGATTGAGGGCCGGCGTTAGAAATCTTACCACCTGATGCAGTCTCTGTGGATCCTAAATTCTGCTACCAAGCACCTCCCTTTGTCTTTCCTAAATTCTGCTGCTTGGTGCGGGCATACGAGCTCTGGTGCTCATTCTGGGTTTATGTGAATAACAAATCATTTATTCTTAATTCAAATAGCTCTAAATGTAATCTTTTGGCCTATGAGTATTAAAAACAAAATCTATTTTTAGCATATGGAAAGAAACTTTTGTTAATTTTTTCCTGTCAACAGTTCTTGGTGCATTAAACTTAAATCTGTAATCATCGCCAAGCATAATGTCAACATAAAAGGTTACCATAGTCTTTGTTATCCAATTACTAATATTAAAAAAATTGTTTAGGCACTGTTACATGAGTCATTACTCAAGTTGTCATCTGTTGATAAACATGCAGTTATGAAAGCATAATATAATAAATAATGATTTGGAAGGTTGGCACCAGGGATGTATTTCTTTTATTTCTACTATAGTGTACCAGGGATACATTTCTTTTAGTATTTATAGTGTATATTATATTTCTTAGTATCTTTTAGTATTTATAGTTTACCACGGATATATTTCTTGGAGTAAAATCAACGGTGTATCTATATAGAATGTTTCAGTTTGAGATGTATGCCAAGCACATAAGCAGCTGTGGAGCCATATTATTGATCATACAAATTTATGCTAAAATTATTGTTTCTTCAATAATGAGGTATTTTATTTAGTGCCGAAGTGAAATTAAAAATCGAGAATCTCTACATGTCTTGTTACGTGCGGGGGGAGTCAAATGCGCATGCATAAAGCACACACACACACAAAAAAAGTTGGTGGTGGCTTTGAGGTCCAGATTTTAGTTCATTCCAGATATTGGACATCTGTATCTTGGACTTTGTACTGTATTATCAAAATGATTGTTAATTTAATAGATTGAATTCAGTGTCACATACTGGGCCAATGAATAGCATATAAAAGCTGTGTATATGTAATAACTTCAAATATGCATAATATACATATATGTTTACAGTTCACTCATTCGCAATTACAGTTACTATTGTAAGAAGTATAATGTAAGCATTTTTTCATTTTTTGAATGACTTATTTTACTTCTTTATTTAAATTTCAAAAAATATTAAGTATTACAAGCATTATTTTCATAATGTTTTTACTTTAGTTTTATGTTGATAGCATAATGTAATAAGATATGCTGTTTACGATGATAAAGTGATTTAAGTTTAAGAAAACACTAAAAACACTTTAATAACACACTAAACACTTTAACACTTTAATTTCTTCACTATAAATATAAATTAAGAATCTATTACGAATAATTTTAAGTAACTATTTTAAGTGTACATACAAATATGGATGCTCTGAAAATAAAATGAAAGTCGTTAAGAGCTTCATTTACGTCTACGGTAAATAAGTTGAAGCAATATTTGTCGACGAAAGTAGATGCCAAGGATGGCGATAAGCTGAGCATATTAAACGCTCAGTTACAAGATAAATAATTACATTTAGATGAGATTCAGAATAACATTTCATCATTACTTTTAGAAAATACTGAGGCTGTTGCTGAATACGAAGCCGATTTTGAGTCGGTAGAGGATTACAGAGATAATTATCTTGAGCTTAAATCAAAGACAGAAAAGCTATTGAATAAAGATTCTGGACCCTTTTTGGAAAGTCCTGCAGAGTGTGATGTGGTAAAATTAAAATTACCTAAATTTGAATTAAAAATGTTTTTGGGTGATCCCAAAGACTTTTTAACATTTTGGAGTATTTCTTTCAAAAATACAAGACTTAGAGAAACTGACTGCTATAGACAAATTCCAGTATTTATACGAGTCTATGGTGCCTGATTCGAGAGCTGCTAGATTAATATCCAGTTTCCCAATAACAGCTGAAAATTATCCAAACTCCGTCCAACAGCTGAAATTAAGATTTCGCCAGAAGGATCTCCTAGTGCAAATATATGTCCGCGATCTCCTTTCACTGGATCTGAAAAATGCTACGGCTGGGAAGAATGTCCCTGATTTAGCCACCCTCTACAATATGCTAGAGACAAAAATTAAGCGCATTGGAAAGTTTAGGGCATACAAAAGAAAAATTTGCTGAATTTTTTAGAGCCATTGGTGGAGTTATGTTTGCCAGAAAATGTTCTGCGAGCATGGGAAAGGACTAGAATCTCAGAAAATATTGACGAAGCAGAAGCTACAAGTCAGAGATCCCTGGAAAAACTGATGTGCTTTTTACACCATGAAGTCAAATCGGAAGAGATGATAAATTTGGCTCAATCAGATTTCAGAACTCAAGTTAAGGTTAAAAGGGAAGTTGATACTACAAGAAATAATATCCCTTCTGCTTCAGCTCTTATTTCATCCAAGCAGGAAAAGGCTAAATGTATTTTTTATGTTCATCCACACTTTAGTAGAGACTGTAAGAAATCTCCCAAGATGACTCTAGATGAGAGGAAATCTCAAATTATACGCAAAAGATGCTGCCTTGTTTGCCTTAAGCCTGGTCATATGGCAAAAAGGGTCACAGAAGTGTGAAATGTTTGATTTGTGCACGGAGGCATTACCCGTTACTTTGCCTAGATTTACGTAAAGATATTAAATTCTCATCAAAGGACAAAGTAGCAGATCAAAAACAAAATTCTACAGAGACCCTATTGACAAATCTTCCTTCAGAATGTGAAACATATTCGAAAACAATCACGATCAGATTACAGCATAGGGGCACAGAAATCTGTATTCAAACGTTAATGTATGATGGATCACATCATTCCTATATCGAGAAAAGCTTAGCAGCTAAGTTAAATCTTCCTCCTTCTGGAGAGAACATGTTATCCCACGGACTGTTTGGCGGAAAGCTTCTCTGGCTGTTGAGCATAATAGATATACAGTAACTATTTAAAGTTTAGATTGAAAGTATTCTACTTCAACGTCTCTCCTTGATCAACAGAAAATTTGTTCAATGCTACCCAGACTACGTGATGAAACATTGCTTGTTGATCTTACTGCACGAGGGATAAAACTGACAGATGTTGGAAGAAATACCCCACCTATACGAGTTCTTCTAGGAGCTGATGTAATTGGAAGCATTTTAACTGGAAGAATTGAGGTCCTTGCATCTGGAGTTTCAGCTGCAGAGACTTTACTAGGTTGGACAATTTTAGGACTAGGCAAGACAAGGCAAGTGGTTAATTTGGTCACATTAAATCTTCAAAATTTTGAGTTGCCGAAAATATGGGATTTAGAAGTTTTAGGGATTACAGATCCTGTAGAAAGAAAAAATAAGATCCTTCTTGAAGAAGAAACTTTGATCCATTTCAAGAAAACCTTAAGGGTATCTGAAGATGGACGTCATGAAGTAGCTTTGCCGTGGCTAGCTGGGCATCCTGCTCTTTATAATAAGCACGATATAGCTGAATCGTGACTTCTCACTGTAACAAACATTTGTTAAATGAAAATAACTTCAAAGTTTACGATGCTGTACTCCAACAGTAGAAATTAGAAGGCATCATAGAAACTGTTCCAATGGAGCAGCTGTTTAAGCTCAGTCATTATTTCCCTCATAGGTATGTTATCAAGCTATCCAAGCAGTACCACTAAAGTTCACCCACTGTTCGACGCTTCTTTCAAGCAGCCTGGATATGCTTCTTTAAACAAGTGTTTGAGTGTTGGACCGAGTCTGATACATCAGGTGGTTCCCATGCTGGGAATCGAGCCCGGGCCACGTGGGTGAAACTCTTGGGGCCTTGTGATAACGAGATTCCACAGAGTGTAAGGGTAACGTGCAGCAGTTGTCAAGGGGTCGTTGAGTATTGCCTGTTAAACATATGGACTCATGGACTTTTATTGACTTTAGACTTTGATAATTGTAATATCATTTGAATGTTTATTATTCTTTGATGTTATATTCACACGTTTACAGTTCTTAGTTCAGTTTCATGTCATGTGTTGACATTTATGTCTATTATATATGTATATATTTTTATTACTTCATTTTGCATTGCTTTAAGCAAAACATGCCTGCAATGCAAAGGAGGAGAGGATGTTGTGACTCCTATTAAGTTTAGCATTACCTGTTTATTATTATTTAAGAGTTTGTTTTGAAATTAAGTTTGATGTATGAATCTGGCAACCAGTTTCCAATGTTGTGATCGGGGAAGTTCCCGTTCTTCTAAGCAAGCAGCAGTTAAGTTAGTTACATTACTGAAATACTGAATGTTTCTTAATCATTAAGATGTATGTACCACTTTATCTTCATACTAAACTCTACATGTAAATAATTGCATTTATCTGTATGTGTTCGTAAATAACATAAATTGGATGTAAAGTGAGGCCTGATTTCGAATCAAAACAGTATGCAATGTAGTATAGTGTACAGTATGCTTAATTACATGTTGGCAAACCTTTTAGTACATGACGTAATAACAATACGCAATCCCATTTATGTATGTTAACTGTTTCACACCACATTCATTATTCGTTTCATATTGCATTCATGTATCCATAGTAGGTCTTGAAATGCATTATCTAGAGATATGCAGGTGCTACTGTAGTATGAATATTACACCTTCCCAAAGCTGCAGAAAAAATAACAGTTAATAGTAAACATACCAAAATCCAACTAAGTTTCGAATTCTTTTCACTGTGTCAGTAGATAAATCTTGATCTAAATAGGAGGGAAAGAAAAAAAAGAAGTTAGTTAAGAGAGTCAATTTTTCATATGGAATTTCTCACAAAAAAAAAAAAAAAAAAAAAAAAAAAAAAAAAAATTAAACTACAAAGTGATAAAAAATTTTAGGTCTCCAACTACCAGTCCTTCACACTTTCCATTTAGGTATACTAATTTTACAAGATATAGCACTGAAACCTGGTATTACACTCTACTCTGGTCTAAAAATAAATTGATCAAAACTGCATTTTGGAAGATCTTCTTTATTATACAAACATCATTTTTATTATACTTACAGCTTTTTTATTATACTTTTACCCTAAAAATTAAATTTTGTATTGTCATCTTTTTCTTTTATTCTTAATTTTGTGAAAATAAACAGTTTTTAGACAGCAAAACTTGCACTTATTTTCCCTCTCATACATCATATAACTATGCACGCCTGTGTAAAAAACAATGGCACTGGGGAGTGAATCTTGTATGTTTTCTGGGGCAGTTAAGGGGTTAAGAGACACCACCTTTGTCAGTGCATCTCACTATTATGCATTTGACTACTTATTATGACACTGAAACATACATATACATTAGTACAATGCTTTAAGGTATTATTCAGCATATTTGATTACCCTATTGAAAAAGATATGGTTAAGACTATAAATCACATCCAATGGTACCCCAGACAAATGATGACAAATAGATGATCTGGCAAGCCATGATGACATTATGGAATCTTAAGACATTCTTATGTAATATTTGTTCGAGCCCTGAAACACTGTTTCACTTGCACCATCTACGAAGAGGAGTGCTAAAGATTCTAAACTACTGCAAACATATCTGTCAACTGTTAAAATATCATTGATGTGTATCAAAGAAGAATAGCTATCATAAAGCAAGAGACTCCCACACCATCACACCTGTGTTCAAATTGCATATTATGCAACCCACTAAGCTAAATTATCCATTAGTCACATCAGCACCATACATATACATATTTATCCTGCATTACAGCTGAAACAAAGGTGGGATTCATCACTGTATGTGACTCGTGACATTCTGAATTCCACGTTATTTAAGTATACTGCCAGTCAATGCACAGGTAACTACAATAAGCAGCAAGGTACTAGATGACATGCATTCAACATGAATTCTACAAAGCATTAGAAAATTGTAGGCCTCAAGTTCAATAGTGGCAAATTTCAAGTTCAGGTCTCATGTTCAGTAATGGCAGATATAATCACTCATTTTGCAGCCAACCCAGCAGCTGCAAAATAAGTGGTAGAATACAATCATAGAACTCAGCACATTAAATAACACAATCATCACACTCTGTGGAATATTCAGGATAACTAAATAATCACACTCTACTTTGCAAGCCCAGTGTGACAAGTGCCTTTTCTTAATTAATTATATTTAAGGCTTCATTTCTAAAATCAGAAGTGCCGGAGCCCTATGGGAAGTTATCAGGAAAAAAAGAAAATACCTAATAATTAAATTTAATGAAATACAAAGATATAAATTTTAAAAAAAAAAACTACAATCAAAACTAATAGGCTTGCACGCTGCATATAATTTTTTTTTTTCCATACAGTGTTGCCATTGCTCGCTTTGAAATTGTTGAGTTTGTCAATCAAAAATTTGTTAGTTACAAAATATGAAATAGATAATAAAACAAATTCCAAATTACGATTTCCAGATGCCCATATTCAGTGGAGGATTAAGTTATTCAAAATTTGATGGCTCTAGGTACCATTGTTTTATTACAATGAGAGGAGAGAAACTTCCATACATGTATGCAGATACTTCATTACTTAATTTTATTAAATATAATACAGGACCTTAATATTTGGTGGCAACAATTTAAAAAGTGATTTGCCGTTGAATCAACGCAAAATGCCAAAACGAAATTAATAGCCCTTCTGGGCAAATTGCTATTTTGAGCTAAAAATTAATAACTTATTAAATTTATGATATACAGTTAAATAAAATATCAGACTGCATCTTATTTGAAGCTGCAGTTGGATGTACAATTTCATTCAAAAACTAAAAAATAGCTTAGCCATTACATGGCCGAATTTAAGACCTGAATAAGCAGTATAACGTACTATTTCAAAAGATGACAGAAACAAAAACAATTCTTTTTACAACACACTAATGGGAAAAAGTAAAACGATTAAAGCATCCCAAATCAGAATACAGCGAATGCTAGAAACAATATGAGAGTACGAAAAGAAAATTTAATTGAGAATAGTAGCTTAGAAACCAAAGAAAGATGAATCCAACACTTTCCGACCATGATGCCCTGCCGATATAATTCTAGCTGTCAAGCAGAATGCGACTGGGTAGACAAATTTCCCCCTAATCTGATCCGATAACAACATGATAACAAAGGTAAGGTTTGCACAAGTGGCAACTTTTGTCTCCCGTGTTTGGTTTTATATATATAGTTCAAATCCACAGAAGCTCTGCAGTGAGAGGGCACTAGAATTGGATGTGCCCACCCATGGTAATCACTTTTATTACTCTCAGGAACAAAACATTTTACACACTCTCTTATGCATTACACTACATGGAGAATAAGCCTTTGACATGTGGATGGGGATTTATCCTATTTTGAAAGTCTTAACCTCCTTCAAAGTGTTTGCTTCCTAGAGAAAGACAGGCATGCATTGGGAAGTTATAATAGATTTTTAAGGCGTATTTATTTTTAAAATAAAATTTCCTATCTGAAATTATGTTTCACTTACACGAAAGAAGTGCTGAAGCCGTTTTATTTAGGGCTCTGGGGCGCTTCTTCTGGAATTCCGATTTACCTCAGAAACTGAGAAGTTCCGGAGCCAGGCTCTGGCGCAATTTAAGCTCTGACTATATCTTTGGATCACTGCATTTGCTCTGTGCAAATGTGTTCCTGCGTACCATGTGAACCAGCAAGCCTAATGTCAACCAATCATCTACCCTTTTTTGAAAGTCTGTCATCTGTGCATGTTGCTGTATGGATAGTTTCAGACGTACTGTTATTTACAGCATTAAAGAAAAAAAGAAAGCAAAATATTTTTAACTAATATATACAAAGAGGCAACATACTTTACTTTAAGACACAATAACATGCCGAACAAATACTAATTCAAAAGTCAAACAACAAAAATCAGCATTATACTTTCAAATTTTCACAGGACTAGTTTCAATGGTTTTACCGAACCACCATCTTCAGCTGCAAAAGCGCAAATGAGCAAGATAGGATATAATGATCAGATAAGATAAGAAAGCCTGGACAGAAAATAAGCTAGTGGCGCCATCTGTTAAAGAAACCAGAACTAAAACATGATTTACAAATTTGCATTTTAAATTGCTAAACATACTCCTGCAAAATGTAAATTTGAATTACTAAATATGAATTATTTCACACATTAAAAATAAAACACTTAACATTCTTTTTTGAATCCTTCTGCAATATTTTTTCATTATTCTTCTCCCTAAGTACACAGTGATCCATTTTCAATTAAAAAAAATTAGAGAATTACAGACTCAGCTTCGTGCAATCTTCAGCAACAGCGGCTACTTACAAAATGCATTTCCTCATTGTTCCCTTTAGAAAATTTTCGCCAAAATTCTGTATTACTGCCAAAATTTTACAGTAGTTTCTTTCATTGCTGGCAAATTCCACAAGCTCACATTTTAAAATTAAGTTTAAAGCAAAAAAATCACGATTTGTGTATAAAAACTGTTGGAACTTGGAATACAACAAAATAGAACATACACAAAAATGGCAATATTGCTTGATTGAAACGGTTGTTATGTTTATGGTTGCCAGAAAAATGATTATGTGCATGGTTGCCAGATTTCCGCAGTTCCTGAAATTTGAGCTACATCCACTAAGATGGTTATATTAGTATGCAAGCCCACTACACACACACACACACACACACAAAAAAAAAAAAAAAAAAAAAAAAAACCTGGGGACAGTTCTATATCTCCTGTTCTACTGGGCCAATTGACAAAGTTCAACTTGCATCATTCATGTCTCGAAAGCGCAACTTATGATATATATTACATTTATACACAGCATTGTTCTAACATAGGTATTTTGACACAAAATCGGACCTTTTTCTGAAATAACATACCAATTTTATTTCCATATTTCGATTCTATGACTCAAATTATGCCTACATATTAAATTTTGTAATTTTTGATGAGAAATTTATGGAGAAATTAAAAAAATTATCTTGGCAGATTTTTTTTTTACTTTAAGCCAAGAATAATTCACTTGGCAAACTTCTTAATTTATAGCAATCTATTTTCCTTTTCTTTTTTTTCATTGCAGAGGAGCATAAAAAAGTCATTGTTGATACTTTCAAGTAGTTTTAACACAAAGCGTAAACCACATTTGGCATTATTACCAAATTTCAAAATGCGCCAATATGTAAATTTCTGTATATCTTAGGACATTTGGTACTTTTCCGTTTCGCCGGCGCAAATCTCGCCAAGCAGACTTTATTGGCGTCAACATACAGTATACACATAAAAAATATTTTAAAAAATGTTAGTTTTAAGAATTCTTTTTTTAAAGGCATAAACATTTTAATATCGCTTAAAATTTTATAAAAAAACCGATAAATAAAGACAAATTTGTAAAAAGACATTAATTTAAGAATTTACTACGCTTTCATGGTTCATATCACGTGACCCGAAGCGATCTCTTCTCACGTAAACTACTCTCTACAAAAATCTAATGCTCTCAGTATATCTACATTAATTTCAAGTTAAATCTTAATTTGGAACACAAGTTTTAAATGCAAGAAATATTTCAATTCGTACGAAAGACTTACTCAGAAATTATGTAAAACTGCAGTACTTTACTTCGCTAATGCATTCTCATTAGAATTGATGAATTTAACTCTTGACTTTACCTTTTCTATATTTTCGGCTTCGGGTAAGCGCTGTGATAGCATCCTAATGACTTAATTACCGAAAATGGCCTTGGACATAAACTGAACTATCTG